CTCCATACCGAGGTACGGACATTAAGTAACAATTTTGGGGGGGGGGGGGGGGGGGAATTTGCCTTTAATGTCACTTTAATTCAACATAAATCTGTTCCAGTCACAGATAAACTGTGCACACCCAATATTGCCATAACCTAATAACATTGACTAAAAACTCCTGTCTACACCATTAGTTTCAGACAGGCGTCCAGCAAAGCAAGGATCTCAGAGGGCTCAATGTCGTAACCGTTCAAGCTGGCAAGGTAAAAATCGCCAACAAAGCTATAATGAACTCAGGGGAGGGAGGGAGTGCACGTTTAGGCTAGCTGGTCAGATCCCAAAAGGACAATAAGCTCACCCCTTAACCCTTTTAACCCTTCCATATCTCTTTCTCTCTCCTGTTACCAGCCAATTAAGGGGTGCCTCAGTATGCCCACAGGGAAGGGAATTTATGCTACTTTCCCCTTCTCTATTGTAATGATTCATGCTGTCAGGGCTCCCTTTCCCTAAAGGTCAAGGGGTCTTCATTCCGCAAGTTGCAAATTACTTTTGTTTATCTTTGTGTTGTCTCCCACTATTCAGGTCGACCGCCAACATGAAATACCTCATTTGCACAGAATTCCCAAGTCATCAAGGGATTCATATATGGTAGAACAGGTGTTCAGTCCTCACCCGTACCCTGCATCTCTCAAATCTCACATGAAGAGCAATCCCATTTACACTGACATGCGTCTGACAGAGGTGGCAGAGATAAAACGAACCCAACCTTCATGGACCATAGAAGAATACACACACAATTCAGCGGAGAAAGGTCGCCTCACCGCACTGGATCTTCAGGTGGGTGATGGTATACTTCATCTCCATTCATGTCATATATCAGCATACCTGGATTAGAAGCACACAGCACCTGGAAATCTCCATTTCCCCCATACCTGACTCAGTGCCCTACAAATGCACGAAACCCTACTAACTTCACCTGCTGCTACAGTGTGTCCTGTACCTCTATATTTTGGCTCAGCAATCAGATCAATGCGTATCCACAGAATATGTTGCCATATTAATTAAGGTAAATGACAAAGAATACAAACATAATTCCACATGGCACGCCTCAGCCAGCTGAGGGAAGGAACTATCAAGCACAAAATTAAACAGTTTAGAATGCAAAATAAAAATTAGTTATCTCCATGCCACATCACTAGTACATCCACATTGAAAGGACAAATGTTCTTAAACAGTGTTAGGGCCCATTCGCACCACTGTGTTGAGGTAATGCCCGTTACTTGCCTTGGTGCTCTGCAATGCCATTAATTTGGAATGGCACTCCAATGAATGTGTGCTGCAATGTACCACAGGACACCACACTGTGCATGGTGTCCCTTGTGGTGTGCTGTGAAAAAAATGCAGTCTGCACTATTTTTTCATGTTTTGAGGTGTGTTGCAGCCCAACCATTTTGAATGAGCTGCTTTATGCAGAGCAAGTGCGGTTTGAACGGGACCATAAAGGTAACCTCTGTTTTGCCCATGCACAGCAAAATAACAGCTTCACTTTTCAAGGTTCACATACTCACCTTCCTTTCCTTATCACCAGGATCTTACAGATGGCTAAGGGCTCTCTCCCTGCCTCCATGTGACAGCATCTGGTGGCTGTCTAAGCAGCCAATCGCCAAGTATCAATGCTGTCACATGGGAAGAAGGAGTGTGAGTCACATGCTCCTCATGCCTGGAAGTATGGGTATTTCCTTTTGCTCCTAATGGCTAAAAGGAATCTCAGTAATGGAAAGGAAAAGTAAGTACGTATGCTTACTTTTAGGTACGCTGGAGAGGGTGGCAGTTAAGTGAATATGTTGCTTTTTCCTGTGTAGGCTAATCAAAGGTTCACCTTAAAGTATAACTCTGAAATAGTATGAGAGGGCAGAAAGAAAAGCCAGGAGAGCAAGAGAGATGAAAATGTAAAGATTGGGGAGTTATGGTGGAGAGGAATATTTTGATGTAACCCAGCAGGAATTTAGGAGCTTACTGCATTTCTGGCAGAACTCTCTGATATTTTTCAGTGCTTTTAAAGAGGCATAGCTTGGGTAAATAAGCATGCATTTGCCGACACATACACTTTAAGCCATACAGGGCATATTTAAAGGTGCTATTGTACCCCTGCTCCTGCTGTGTGGAACCATGGTCGGCTTGAGGAAGTCATTCTTCTACAAAAGTAAATTATAATAAAACATACCAACGTTTACTTAAACTAAGGTGTCAATTTAGCAATGTTTTCACCCAAGGTTAGCACAACATTCACCCACGATTCATGTTTACAGTTCAATAAATGTATCAATCTTCTGTTAAAGTTGTATAAAATCTTGGGTATGAACATTGATAAATAAAGCCTTGAAGCTCCCCATTAATGTGTATTTAACCCCTAGAACAAAAATATACTATGGCAGCCTGTCAGTCCTTAGATCTTTTTTTTTCTTTTGTAGATCTATTTTTAAAAACAGAACTTCTGAATGACAACCTCAACCTCCATGCTAATTCCTTCATATGGTTCTTAATTTCAGCAGTCCACAGCAACATTTCTCTAGAAGAGATGGTATAAATCTAAAAGAAAGTTTGCTAATATCCTTGCAACCTCTGTTGCAGGCTTGTGGAGGTAAAGCAAGAGTCTTACAGAAACCTGGTAAAAACACAGATAATAAAATGATCAGAAAATCCATATTTGTTAATTGCTAAGGTTTGTGACACGCTTATTTTAGACAAAATTTGACTAAAAATATTTTAGCTTTCTAACTAAAAAGAACAGTCAAACAAATCAGATCAACGCTCCAGCAGATTATAGATCCTGCATGATGTTACACCAGTAGTTAAAAAGAGAAATTAATGTTTCTCAGACAGGATTCTCAACTGCGGTGTTTAATGAAGTTTTTAGAATTAGAGCAATGTAGTCCTACTACTCAGCCAAAGATAACTGATGGCTATCTGCATAATGCATACTGGGTTCATATATTCAGTGGCAGTTCAGTCTGGGGGATCCTGGAACAAAATGTCATAATTTTTTTTACTTAAATTGTATCAAACTCAAGAACGAAGATGTAAAACTCATCTCCAGGCAAACCAAAAAAACTGCCCCCACACTGCAAGGGTTAGGTGCTCATTTATGTCCAGGGAACAGGAAAAAGCTATTTTACTTACCTGATCCCAACTCCCGTCAGCTTCCTCCTAGCTGCTAGACCAATCCCCCACAGCCTCCCCTTTGCTCCGATGGTCTAAAGAACACTGGCTTCATCAGAACTAATAAGGTTCCATACACCTGCATTAGACACGGATTGCTGAAGGATATTCAAGCAGCCAGTGGGGAGAGAGGAGAGCGCTGACTACCGGGGGAGTGGGAATCAGGTAAGTAACAGTGCTTTAATTTACTGCAAGGGTAGTTCTTTGGGCTTTAATATATTGCAGTTTGCCAGTCCTTAGATCTGGTGGCTGCACTCACTTCCTTTTTTCAAGCTAAGTACATTTTCTGCAAGTACAGAAAATTCTTTTGATTTTGCCAGAAACCCAGAGTCCTTGCAATATATTTATCCTTCCTAGCTATCTCCCTATTTTACAGAGATAAGGAGAGGAGGAGGTGATATAGTTCAAATCAGGAGAGCAGTCTAGGGTGACAATGCTTCTCCTCCCTAGATACAGTACAATGAGTGAGCATTATCACCCCATAAACAATGGGTGTGGTAGTGGTAAGGGCACCAGGTGAAAATAAAGGAAAAAAGCTGGGGAAAAACCAATGCATACATGTAAGGACTGATAACCTGCAATATAGATTACAGTTTTGTTCATGAGTTTAGATCTGCTTTAAAGTTATTTGTTCTTTTAAGATTTTATTGTACCTCTGCAAAAGTTCATGGTCCTCTTTAGTAGGAAATGGTCACGACAATAAAATAGAAGAAATAAAGCAATAAATAGCACCTGCTGGCTATGGTGAATATGTAAAGTGGCCTTATTATGATAGGTAATGTGTATATGTTTTTAAACTGTTATTATTATATTTGGGTTTTTTTTTCACTATCTATATAAAATCTTTGTTTTACAAATAATGGGTTATCTGAAGAGGCAGCACAACAGAGCAGCCTCATTTGTCTGAAAGAAACCTCAGGCTCAGCTATCTGATAGGGGAGGAGTCACTGGTGAGATGACTTATTCCATATTTGTAAAAAAAACAACATGTTTCAGCACAGCTGAAAAGTAATCTAGCTAATGATGTAAAAAGGAGGCTAGAGCTCCCGGAAAGAAGAAGCCATGATATTAATAAGTAATATTTTATACATATATATATATAAAATAAATAAAATATGTACACACCCTATAGATTCTCTTTAGCAAACCACACCGAATACTAACTATTATATGAGAATCACAAATAATATCTATTGGGACCTTTACAGAAATCATGTTGTGTATCTAACTGTAATCAGCTGAGAGCAATCTGGTAAAATTGTTATGATCCATTTTGTATTTAACAGGCTCAAGAATCCCTAAACCCAAACAATTTGGAGTTTTGGATGGAAGACATCTACACTCCAGGTTATGATTCTCTGCTGAAAAGGAAAGAAGCTGAGTTCCGACGAGCCAAGGTCTGTAAAATGGCAGCACTGATCACAGCGGCTGCCTGCACAGTAATTCTGGTGATCGTTGTTCCCATTTGCACCATGAAGTCTTAATCTTTACAAATGGCCAGGAGATCCTTACTTGCACTTCCCCTAGGCATCCTGTTCTGTCAACCAGGAGCAGATAGCAAGAGACACTAACCTTAGATACATACATCTTCCTACAATATGAAGAGTGAGTGCAGCAAGACTCAACATAATGTGACTATAAAAGCACTACACAAACACAACGCACACATTACTAATACAATGCTTACATTTTATGTGGACTCAGATAAAAGAAGTGTGAATTCCATAATGGTCTGTCCCTCTCTGTATGTAACTGGATTAGAGATGGGAAATCCTTCTCCCTCCAGAGACCTTCTTGGACAGTCATCACACAATAAGGCTGACAAACATACATGGTCCCCGAAGACTTGGTTCACCATGTGCTTGAGCAAATGAAGAAAAAAGAAGCAGGACAATTAGAGGACAAAAATGAACAGCCAAAGAGATGACACAGCATCTTTTCAACAGCAATACAAAACCATTTCATCTTTTGTGCCTTTCTTCGAAACATTGTCAGCACTTCTTGAGTTTCTGCATTATATGTTTTTAATGAATGTTAGTAAGAGGGGCTTCCTGGAAAGTATGAAGACACTACTGGTTAGAGTATTGGTGAGTCCACTAAACTCTTTCAGTATTCTGTTAAATCCCGCGTTCTGTGGAAATATAGCGTAAAACTTCGCTCATCCCTAATTTGCACCTTGCTTATGTCTGATAAAAAGGTCTTCAGGAAAAGGTTGTTGCATGATGACAATGAAAGAATGTGGCTATAGTAAGTGACACACATTGGGCCCATGTTGTTCTAATTCATTTAAAGCAGCCTGTATATTTTATGATTCTTGCAAGAAATTCAACCAGTCCGAGTAGCAGGGGTTAACAAATGCCATATGATCATATGCATAGGTGCAAAGACTGATGCTGGCCACAGATGTTTAAGCATTGTTTAAATGCCTGTTTGTTCTGCTTGAGAAAATATAGCTGAGCAGAATCATTGGAGTTGAAGAGCAACTGAGTCATAAACTTCTTCTTTAGTTTTGGATAGAGAGGGATTAGAACATGTGTCAGGATTTTATTGTTGTCTGTGTCCCTGGTGTCTGTCAGTGCAGTGTGAATCAATGTGAGGAAGGAGCCAGCCTGGAGCAGTCGGGGGGGGGGGGAATCTTAATATAGAAATGTATCTATGGAGTTACCAAGTCACTGTCTGCTTATAGCTTAGAGAAAAAGAGGGGATATGTCTGCCCCTAAAACGCATTGGCTGGTTCATCAAATTGACCGAGTGGTAAGCATTACATTTTGTATGGACTCTGATACTTACTTTACTGATTTGGCTTCCATCTTTCTTTTTCTATATTTGAGTTTTCCTGGATTTCCTACATGGGAGACCTTGCATTGCGGAGTTGCCTAACCATAGCGAGTGGGTTTATCTCAAGCTTTTTGAAGTTTGGTCTGTTACAAAGAGAAACAAAAGTCTTCCCGGGAACTCTGAAACCTTTTCATTATTTTTGTGTAAAAATAAAATCCCACTTTTTGGGTTGTCATCAGATCAGGAATAGATGGGAAATCTTTCAATGGGGACACAAGTTCTGGAGACTATCAGGGATTTCCCACTCTTTGTGGCTATAAAAAGTGAAGGGAAATCTCCCCAATGGGACACAGAAGGCAAAAAAAAAAGCTGACAGGTTATAACCCTCCCCTACTCTATCCAAAACATAAAAATGTTTGGCTACTTTAAGACTTGAACCTGTTGCCTCAGATGTTAGATCTTTTTTGGTATTTGACAAATGATTCCCCACCTCTATCAAGGAGAAATAGACATGGCTGACCATAAGTAACCTTTTGATCTACAGCCGTTGCAGAGTTAATATGGCTTAGCAAATCCTTTTAGTCTCTGATGATAGGGTATGATAGGACATGTAGTTCTTCAACTGCTGCAGAGTATAAACTCGCCTCCAGTCCTGAGATGCAAAATCTTTTTAATGTTGATTTCCAAATGTGTCAATGTGCCAACTGTTACATTTTGTATTTGGTCTGGGATCCAAGATGATGCTTCCGGACAGAACCCAAAGAATGAATGTTGTATCTAATAACCCAGGTATGAAATAGACTGACCTGCAGGCAGTGGAGGGATGGCCGTGGGTGATCCGGAAGGCATTCACAGTTAAAGGAGAACTATGAGGTGAGTGCTTTTCACTCACATCATAGTTCTAGCCGACCTGTGACAATGAGACTGTCACAGGTCGGCTCAGTAGATCGGGAAGTGAGCGAACACATACCGGCGTTCGCTCACCTCTCGATCCTGTCACAGCTCTCTGCTGTGACAGGGGGAGGGCTGGATTCCCCCTTCCCCGCTCCGATCCGTCAGCGCTGACTGGCGGAACGGACGGGGGAGGGGGCGGGTACAGCTGGCTCTGCCTCTAGATAGGCAGAGCCAGCTGTCACTCACGCAGCTGGGCGGATCCAGACATAATTGTCGGGATCCGCTTCAGCTGCGGCGTCTCAGTATACCGCAAGCTACAGCTCGCAGTATACTGAGCTTAGGGTGACGGGAGGACGCTAGTTTGTGTCCTCCCGTTACCCTAAGGAGAACTATGGGGAAAAGCCTTAACCCCATAGTTCTCCTTTAAAGCAATTCTGTCGCCATAATAATGTGTACAATGATCTGTACAATAAAGGGCTCCCTGTAAAGACATTGAATATTCACCTCTCCCGCAACCCGAACCACTGATCTCTGCAATACTGAGGAGAATCTGCTGGCTAAAGATCCTGCACAATCTGACACTTCTAGGAGTGTTGCATTCCTTGTTCAATGCTGAGCTCAGTGTTTTGATCAGCCGGTCCCTATGTCACTACTTTGTGCTGTTGTGACGTAGGGGCCAGCAGAAGGAAACACACACTACAGTGGGGGACCACCAAACTGGCATTACTAGAAGTACTGGATTCTGCAGGATCTTCAAACAGCTTTACTACCGCAGAGGTCAGTGATGTGGGCAGAAGGAGAAAATTTAAAGAAGAACTTCGGCAAAAATTGTATTAACCCTTGTAGTGGGGCTACCCTCGCACTGCAAAGGTTAACGGCTCATTTTTGTCTAGGTGCTAAAAAAGTTATACTCACCTGAACCACGGTGCAGGCTTCCACTTAGACCAGTTCCTGGAGCCTCTCTCCCCCTCCTCTGCAACAGTTTAAGGTGCCATAAATCATCACATTCTATGCACAGCGTACAGACATGAGGACGCTGAGGAACATTCCAATGCTGCAGTGTAAGAGGACATAGGCTTCAGAGACCGGAGAAGCAGGGAGCTGGCTCAGCTGTTCGGGCGAGTATTATTTTTTTTTAGCACCTAGTCAAAAATGAGCAGTTAACCCTTGCAGTGTGGGGTTAAATGTTTTTCCCAGAGTCTTTCTTTAATGCCTTCTTTGCATGGAGGACTTTATTGTAGTTTTCTTTAGCAACAGAATCCATTTAAAGTCTAACTCCAGTCAATTTAATTTTTTGGATATACTTGGGAACAATTCCATTTTCTATTAAGTTTATGTCTCTGTCTGTGATCCCACTGGTGGGATTTTTCTTCCTTCCTTTCCATGTGACAACAGAGCAGGAATTTGGGGGAGCAGTTGTCACCAGGACAGGACAGACCACAAGAAAAGCATTGTCAGACGTTCTAACCCTTTCCCACTCGATCCAAACAAAAAAAACAAAACATTTTAGAGCTCTGGGGTTGGGCTTTCAATGGTGCATCATAGTGCAGCACCAGCTATATTTATAAAATATGCAAACTAAAGATAGCAGCAATATTGGTTTCGCACCTAATCCCTCCAAAAGAATTGTTATAGTTGATTCTTTCTCTCTGAACACATGGACAGAAATGTGCACACTTGTATTGTTTAATAAGTGCATCCATGAAGAAGGCTTTCCCTAGTACTGGTCCTCATTTATAAAGATAAGAGGACAGACCACAAGGTAACCTTTTCTCAATCCTTTCCCAAGGTTGCACACTTTGCTCAAGATTATTATCAAAGTCATTGGCTGCTTCACAGAATCGAATTTATTATTTAAAGCAATACCATAAGAAACTTGCGGTTCTACTTTTTTACAAGTATTCTACGCCAGGCATTTCCATAGAGACCTCACCTCATAGTATCCAAGCAGAGTCATATGGATTAAAAGGGCAAACTATTTTCTTACACTTGATGATCTTTAAAATTCTGCAGAGAATATTGTTTCTGATATTTACAAGACTTTACAGCCTTGAGAAATGTTGACAATATATATGGTATAAATATATACATATATAAATATATAATGTGAATGTATAAAAATATGCATTGCACTCTATATTAATATAAGCATGAAATCTATATATAAAAATATATAAATATATAGCTATACATCCTCTGAGCCAGTCATCAAAGGTAGGCTGGATTGAGAGTCATCTGCAGAGCTCTTTGTTGCCTTCAGCTCTGTAGGATGGCAGGAGATGTGCCTGTTATTGTCTGGAAGATGAGGCAAGTAGTACCCGCCTGGAAGATCAAGCAAGCAGTACCTGCCTGGAAGATCAAGCAAGCGGTACCTACAAATATGCCCACTGAAGACTGTTTACGGAACCTTTCTAAAGATTGTGTAATATCTCTGGACAAGATGAATGTATAGGAAAATAATGATTGAAATAAAATATATTTAAAACAGATGTATGCAGTCATTCCTTTAAAAAAGTATAGGCTTTTTTTTAAAGCAGAAGTATCGATATTTTTAAAAAAATGCAAATTTTAGTCATAATGTGCTAGTATGTACAACACATTAGCAGATGTACCTGCCAAACCGATCCCCTCCAGCACTTCTCCCTCACCGGAAATTCCATCTTCTCCCCGGTCTTCTTCTGGGTTACGAATGTTCGGCTGCATGATTGGCCGGGCCCCGATGATGTAACTCCCGCACATGCGCATTAGAGCTACTTCATCATATACTGACAACTCCACCAGCAAGCATCACCATGCAAAGTGAGGGTCAAGTTTAAAGGGTATTTATGGTCAAAAACATAAATCTGTATTTCCATATTGAAATTCCAAAAGTCCTATCCCCCGCCTAATAACAATATCGATCCAGAAGTTTGTAAACTTATTGAAGATGTCCATAGAATGTACTTCCTCAATGCTCTGACACAATTTCATTCAGCCCTGTGAATATGTACTTTCTTGTGTCATCAATCTCACTAGTATTATGATGTGTCACCTGCGCTCCTTACAGTGATTGGACCTTGATTAGTGGTCATGGTGCTCGTAGTGATTACCTGGATGGCGCCATGTTTTCCCAAAATCGTAAAGACAGAGATCACCGACACTCTTCTTTTGCTTACTTATTGAAGAAACATGTCAGAAGCATCAATTAGCCAACATTTCGGGGCCACGCAGGGTCCCCTTTTGAAGGCAACACAGTGATCAATGGGGTTAAGTGCTGGACTGGCATCATTTCGATAAACTTATCCAATATCACAACTAGGGATGCACCGATACTAGTACTCGTACTCGCCCAAATGCTTCGATGCCTAGCACGAGTACTTCCAGTATCAGGAAGCCGGGCAGCGCGTCATTACACGCTGCCCGGTTTCCCGATTGGCCGCGAAACGGCTCCATGCTCTCACGCCACTTGTGATGAGAGAGCATGGAGACGACTTCCCGGCCAATCAGGAAGCTGGGCAGCGTGTTATGACGCGCTGCCCAGCTTCTCGATTGGTCGGGAAGCTGGCCAATCAGGAAGCTGGCCTCGTGAGGATCTTCTTAATTGGGAAGCCGGGTGGCGAGGCTTCCTGAATGGGACTTCCGTTACTCGGTAATTGGTATCGGCGAGTACCGAAAATAAATTATCGGTACTCGTATTGGTACCAAAATACCGGTATCGGTGCATCCCTAGTCACAACATTTATTTCCATCCAAAGTTGCATTCATATTTCACCAAGATCTTGTAGTGATGATGGGAGAGTCAGACCTCTGTGTAAGGTTTTCTCCAGCACATCCCAAAGATTCTCAATGGGGTTAAGGTCTGGACTCTGTGGTGGCCAATCTGTGTTTTAAAATGATGTCTCATGCTCCTGAACCACTCTTTTTTTTACAATTTGAGCCCGATGAATCCTGGCATTGTCATCTTGGTATACAGGTGAAACTCAAATAATTAGAATATCGTGCAAAAGTAATTGCAGTAGTTGCTGCAAAAGGGGCCCAAACCAAGTACTGAGTACATATCCATGCTTGTACTTTTCAGAGGTCCGATATTGTTCTATGTACAATCCTTGTTTTAATGATTGCATCCTGAACCACTCTTTTTTTTACAATTTGAGCCCGATGAATCCTGGCATTGTCATCTTGGTATACAGGTGAAACTCAAATAATTAGAATATCGTGCAAAAGTAATTGCAGTAGTTGCTGCAAAAGGGGCCCAAACCAAGTACTGAGTACATATGCATGCTTGTACTTTTCAGAGGTCCGATATTGTTCTATGTACAATCCTTGTTTTAATGATTGCATGGAATATTCTCATTTTTTGAGATTGTGGATTTGGGGTTCTTGGGGTTTTCATGAGCTGTAAGCCATAATCATCACAATTATGACAAATCACGGCTTGAACTATCTTGCTTTGCATGTAATGAGTCTATCTCATATATTAGTTTCACCTTTTAAGTTGCATTAGTGAAATAAATGAACTTTGCACGATATTCTAATTATTCGAGTTTCACCTGTATGTCCATGCCATCAGGGAAGAAAAAATCCATTGATGGAAAAACCTGATCATTCAGTATATTCAGGTAGGCAGCTGACCAAATTTTTTGGGGACATAACGTTGCTGAATCTAGACCTGGCCAACCAACGCAACCCCAGATCCTAGCACTTATTCCATGGAAGGCTCTTACAAATTTTCTTCGATGAATCCACGTGATGACTTTTTTTTTTTGCCAGGCAGTGTATTTACAGGGCATGAAGAAGATAGGGCAGTGCCAAAGGCCTCTGTATTAATCCATAGTAACCAGTCATCTTTCAACGTTGGGCAATTTACAACAGTAATTGCTGCAAGTCAATTAAAGAATGCTGCACATTGGTTGTTATGGGTCACTGCACCTCAAACCCACCTTGCAATTTGCATTATTAAATAAGTGCTGCTGTGTGCGGTAACATTATAATAACCAAAGAAAAAAGGTGCTTTTCATAGCGTTCTGACTAAATAAAAACCTGATTTCTGAACATTTACTATGGGTTACTGCGTATCGCAATGCATTGCTTTGTGAGCCCTATTTATATCCACTGGACAGCCTTATTTGGAAAACAGTAAACCTCTGATAGCGCCACTCTTATTAACACAGGAGGAAAATACTAATAAACAGGATTTATTTTATCCATGCACCAAGCTGTTCACAGCAAGACCACAGGGGAATAGAACATAAAAAAATAAAGACCTAAACAAAACTTCAAAAGAAAAATATAAGCATGAATGTCCCAGATGCATAAATCACAGATACACAGCATGAGGAAGTGGAAGAGAGCTCTCACACAATATATGATTGAGCTACATGACTGTGTGACTGCCATCCTATTACTGCGATTCATTGGGAAACTCAAACCTGTTTCTTCAACAGTAAAGCTGGCTGCAGATTCTAGAACAATTACACTTTGGTGACAACATCTAATGGGCACATGTTTGTAGCTCAGCAGGTAACGCTGTGCATCTGCAATCTATAATAGTTCCCTGCTACTGTAATGTAGAAGGGTGATTATGGAGGACAATATACGGTCCACAGGCTGCGATTTTAATGGAACGCGCTAATGAGGATGAGAGATATTAATATCCCATATTTGTGAGGTTATATGGATTTGTAATTCACGGTTCCAGTTGTGAACTTCATAAGAGTATCAAAATTACAAATCAGCTGCTATGAAAAACCTGTGGTCTGCAATTAGAGTTCTGTGTGGAGAGGTGAGGAGCTACTGCTATCAACTGTGCTGTGTGCAATGGCTGGTTTGTGTTACGGTCACCAACACACATTATTTTCAGTGCATCTAAATACAAGACAAGTTAAAGGACATACAGACTGCAAATCTATTGTTTATTTATTTGACTTTATTTCTCCTTTAATAAACCCATAAACAGGGATAGGCAAACTCTGGCCTTCCAGCAGTGATGAAACTACAAAAAACTTCATGCATCTGCCTCGGGGAGTCATGCCTGTAGCTGTCAGAGTCTTGCAATTCCTCATGGGCTTTATAGTTCCACAATAGCTGGTGGGTCAGTGTTTGACTACCCCTTCCATACAATATTCCAAAATAACAATTACTGCTGAATCTAAGAGCCTTAATTAGGTGGGTTCCAGAACTAGCTGGCTATTGTTCAGTGTTGAAAGGCCAGAGATCATCCTTACCCATCCTGACCCAATCAGGATGGGTAAGGACCACTGGTCAACAGTAACAGATTTTCAAGTGGATTGAGGTCTAGACCTTGACTGGGCCAATGCAAGAAATCCAGCCTTTAGGCAACCTTAGCATTCCTATAATGCCTTAGCAGTCTAACTGTGGTGAAAGTACAAATCCTATAATGCCTTAGCAGTCTAACTGTGGTGAAAGTACAAATCCTATAATGCCTTTGCTTGTGGGAGCCATGCCTGTGGCTGCGAGAGTCTTGGGACTTGTAGTTCCACAACATCTGGAGTTTGGTTGTTCAGTGTTGAAAAGCCAGAGATTAGTTAAAACTGTGCATCAATTAGTCTGACATGGCTTTCCAGTTAATAAAGAAATGGTCTATTTGCTCCCTGTGGATCCATTAAAAGCTGGTATACACTGCCTGGCCAAAAAAAGTCAACACCTGGATTTAGATAAGCGAATAGGTAAGAGCTATAGGGGTTGCTGCAATTGGCCAGGTTTAGGCTCAACAACATTATGTGCCCAAAAGTTTTTTCCATCAATTGATTTTTTTCTTCCATGATGGCACATTGGGCATATTGCAAGATGACAATGCCGGGATTCACCAGTCAGAGATTGTGAAAGAGTGGTTCAGGGAGACATCACTTTCACACATGGATTGGCCACCACAGAGTCCAGACCTTAACCCCATTGAGAATCTTTGGGATGTGCTGGAGAAGACTTTACACAGAGGTCTGACCCTCCCATCATCACTACAAGATCTTGGTGAAAAATGAATGCAATTTTGGACAGAAATAAATGTTGTGACATTGCATAAGTTTGTAGAAATGATGCCACAACAAATGTGCGCTGTAATCTTAAGGCGGTCCAACTAAATATTAGAGTGTGTGACTTTTGTTTTGGCCAGGCAGTGTATATGGCTTTTACTTACCATGTCAACCGGGTGATGGTGACTAAAGACAGATCCTCAAGAAAAGTGCACACTAACAAAACAAAACTTTGCACAATAATCCCGGAACCAGCTTTGGCTGCAATTACATCTCCAAGTCTTTTGGGGTAAGCCTTGACCATTTATACACATCTGGATCTTGCCTATTCTTGCCTATTCTTCTTGGAAAAATGTATCTAGCTATGTCAGGATGGGTAGGGACCACTGGTCAACAGCAACAGATTTTTGGCTGGATTGAGGTCTAGACTTTGACTGGGCCAATGCAAGAAATTCAGTTTCCTGTCTTTAAACCACTCTAGGGAAGCTTAAGCTGTGTGTTTAGGGTGGGGGTAGGAAACCTCAGCAGTCCACCTGTGGTGAAAGCACAAATCCCATCATGCTTTTGCTTGTGGGAGCCATGCCTGAGGCTGCCAGAGTTTTGAAATGACTCATGGGACTTGTAGTTTCACAGCAAAACAATTTTGTTCATATCAATATTATGGACGTTTTGTGTCGAACAATATTACATTACATCAAATTACAATTAAATCCATTTTATTTCCAAGTGGTAGCACTATATAACATGGACATATGTCCAAAGGAGGTGAATATCATACCAAACATCATAATAACCAATGAGCAATATGCAAAAGAAAAACAATAACAAAACAACTTACAATTTGTATTATTGAGAGTTAAATGATATAAAATGTCAAAGTGATCCATTGGATGTAACTAGTAGGCAATGACAGTCTGTTATGAAAAATAAAGAAGGGAGAAGATGAGGTTTTTTAAGCACTGGATTAAACAAAGGCAGATTTGATTGTTGACTAAAGAATGATTAAGATCAGTACATTTCTTGAGCCTGCAGGTGACAAGTTTATTTTCTTGGTATATGACACTGGATACTGAGCAGATGAATATAAAAAGTAAAGGCCTAAGGACCTAAGATGGCCAAGGAAGAAATATTGCAGAAAGAAATTATAGACCTGAGGTAGAGGATCTTATTTCATAAATTACACAGAATTTCACTTTATTGCTGTAATATAGATTCACCAGTCACCTCTGTAGGTAGCATTTTTCTGAGTCCTTTAGTTGTTACCTATTTCCAGATCTCCAGCACAGAGGATCTCATCGATTTCAAAGTCACTGTCAGTGACAGGGATGGAGGGGCATAGCTGCTCTTGAAAAGTCAATGCGATTGTGTATGGTCTGGCAGAAAGTCGTTGGTTGTAGCGTTCTAAAAATGTGTCATAATATCCTTTACCTCTTCCCAAACGATGCCCTTCCTTATCAAATCCAAGTCCAGGCACGAGAACAAGATCCAATCCTCCTGTAACAGTTATATTACATAAGATAAGTCATGTCTCACTATAACACCAAATAACTTAGAGGAACAATAGGAAATATATTGTCTAAGCAAACAGCCATAAGGAGTGGCGAGTGATTACTTTTGTGTGGGCCACAAATGCCACCTTTGGCTCTTCTACTAAAGAGATGGACATAATAAAATTTCCAAACAATTCACTAGCAGACCTATGCCCATTCCAGGTCTGCATTCTTGGGACTATGCAAGTAAAATGTTGAGCTAAACTTGCCATGGTGTTGCGGAGAGGTCTGTGAGCTGTGTACAGAGGGTTAATGGAAAGATTCAAGAGAGAGATAAGGGAGATGTGGGCAGTGAGCGGAGGGTTCATGGAGAGGTACTAGGGAGAAGTGCAATGTATGGGCAGGCAGCAAGAAATTGATGCAAAGTGGTCAGGATAGATAAGCAAGATGTGGGGAGTGAGAAGAGGATAATGGGAAGATACCATGGAGAAATGTACTAGAAACTAGAAGAATCTTTTTTTTACCCAGCATACAAAAGGATCTGATGTTGCAATGCCCCTAAAATGACAGAACACAATGCAGGAAAAGCTCTATGAATGTGCAGACTGTATTGTTAAACCATCAAGATCTGATCTACACTGTACAGTTAAATATTCAGAAAGCTAAACTACTATACAAGTGACTTGGCTGAGTTCCACCCTCACTCAATATATCAAGTTTCTTGGGTTGTTTTAAGATTTTTGTTTAGCACACATTCATTGCTTGGAATTGCCCACTGGCATTTACAACAGTGTATCAAGTTGAGATCAAGCTCTATGAAAAATGATCTCCTCTCTCTGGAACAATTGTATTTCTACAAACCTCCATTGTCCAAAGCAAAGCAACGTCTACAGTATTACATGTACTGCTGGCTGGGCCTGCCGCCTATATATTGTTGTACATAGTTTATGAAGTGACACTAAACTCAGGAGTTAAATCTTAAAAATACATTCAAGTACCTTAACTATTAATAAAAATGTCTCTTATTTGTGTATCACTCGGCTGTAGATCCTCAAATCATCTCTGAATTGGTGCTGACACTGTCCTTCCTTCTGGAGGGTGGCTACTTTTGTTCCCCATGGTCCCTGTGTGTGTTGTAAAGTAGTCACCGCTCCAAGCTCGCTCCTGTAATGGACTACAATCTCAATACAAATTAGTAAACTAAACATGTGATTGTAGTCCATCACAAGAGCAAGTTTGGAGCAGTGACTACTATACAACACACGCAGAGACCATGGGGAACAAAAGTAGCCACCCTCCAGAAGGAAGGACAGTGTCAGCACCAATTCAGAGATGATTTGAGGATCTACAGCCGAGTGATACACAAATAAGATACATTTTTGTTAATAGTTAAGGTATTTTAATCTATTTGTAAGGTTTAACTCCTGAGTTTAGTCACTTTAAGTTATGCTGGAACTTGAAGTCTTTGGACATGGACCACAGTGAAGGCATTTAGTAGAGGTGAGAACCCTACATGATTCCCTGCATTAGTCAAAATGGAGGTAGCTCCAGCACTTGGAGGTTACACATACAATGCAAGAATCTTGTTAGAAATGGTCAAACCAGCATTTCAAAAACATTCCTTTCTATGCAAAAGGCATTAACAAATCAAAAAGCATCTATAACATTTATCAGCAAGCAGAAGAATCTTCCAACAAGCCTGGGGCCATGACAAGATCCTATATGCAAGTATTATTTATACCATCTTTTTTGGATGACTTATAGGAATCAGTCATTGGGAAATGACTCTTTGTAATTATTAAAACACAAAGATCTTAAGAAGAAATGGTTTAACTGCCAGCAAGAAATGCAAATATTATCTGGCATTAAGGCTTGCATAATCTTTCATTCTTCTACATATCTTCTTCCACTCTTATTACATTATTCAATATTAAAATCTGTATCCATCAAGTAGGTCAATACCAAAGCAAATGCCATATTGTGGAGACTATGATGTCCCAGAAAGGAAGCCGGTTCCCCTCTGATGTCAGAGCTAAGCAAGGACTCATGTGCAAGTCAATGTGCGTCTTTGATTTACTACTTGCAGACAGATGCCTGCAGGTTGGAATCAGAAGACAAACTTACAATCTTTTTTAATAAAGAATAATGTAATATTCAGAATATTTATTAAGCTGATATAATACTGTTCATCGCTGGAATATGCACACTTTCTTCAAACTTAGATTTTCACAGAAGCATCTTGCTCACCAGAGGTCAAAGCTTCTTCCCGGCATTCTTCCTCCCCAGGCTGGCGGATGTTCCATGTTGTTACCGGCAAGTTTTGAATCTCCTCCACTGCATTCAGTCTCACCATGTCCATGTGATTACTGCCGCGCTGGTAACGTGGAATGAAACAAGCTTTACCTTGGCTGAAAATGTCATGTATGATGTCCCCAGTCTGAATCTCATCAGGCATGTTCAGAAACACAGCAATACGCTGGGCTGCCTGGTAGTGGTTGTGGGACAGCAACTGCAAGGACATTTCAGCATTAGAAGTATGATGACAAAATATTATCTGGTGCAGTGCAAAGACAATAAAAAAAAATCATATTTTTCTAGCCAGGGTCTTCTTCATACGTGTGGTGACCTGAATTGTGCAAATGCAACTCATTACTTTGCTTTTTGTAAGCAGTCAGATATGAATGGAGCCTGTCATTAAAGTGACACTAAACTCAGGAATTAAATCCTAAAAATCCATTCAACTACCCCAACTATTATCAAAAATGTATCTTATTTGTGTATCACTCGGCTGTAGATTCTGAAATCATCTCTGAATTGGTGCTGACACTGTCCTTCCTTATCGAGGGTGGCTACTTTTGTTCCTCACGGTCCCTGTGTGTGTTGAAAAGTAGTCACTGCTCCAAGCTTGCTCCCGTGATGGACAACAATCTCTATACAAATCAGTAACCTAAACCCTAATAAGAACTAATGATTATTAGCAGGTGATAATTGTACAATTATCCTCTGCTAATATGAATGGATTAAATGATCCATAGTACATAATATGTACATAACATGTAGTTGTACTACAGGTCATTTAACCCATTCATGTTAGCAGAGGATAATTGTAAATCTATTGTTTGCAGTGTATACCCTATATGTAGTACATATATACAGTACACATTCCCAATACACTGCCGGCAATAGATTCACAATGATCCCCTGCTAATATTAATGGGTTAAATGATCCGTAGTACAACTACATGTTATGTACTATAGATCATTTAACCCATTCATCTTAGCCGAGGATAATTGTAAATCTATTGTCTGCAGTGTATACTCTATATTTAGTACATAGTACATTACACATGTCCAGTACACTACAGCAATAGATTTACAATTATCCCCTGCTAACATGAATAGGTTAAAAGATCCATAGTACATAATAGTACATAACATGTAGTTGTACTACCAATCATTTAACCCATGCATGTTAGCAGGGGATAATTGTAACTCTATTACTGCAGTGTACTGGACGTGTGTGCTGTATATGTACTATGGATCATGATTTAACCTAACTGGTGGACGGTTCAAAGTGATGCAGAGAGCGATCTCTGTATCAGTTTATGTTAGTAAAGGGTGTCGTGGTGACACCCACTCACGGGGTAGGTCCATGGCACCCTACACTCATGAGATTTTCTCACTCTACTCTGATGATGGGCATCATTTATCCCAGATGACAAACATTCCTGTTCATGTCAATGAAGGCGGGGAGGTGACAAAGGCAGACAATAATGAGCAAGGTAGGCATTTTAAACTGTTCCTATTCAATAAATCTTTGGCAAATTTTATTAAAAACGGTCATAAGAACGTACAATCGTGATCTAGGTTTTAGATCTTTTCAATCTTTGAATGCTTTGTTTGAAAGATCTGAGACCTAACCCACGATTGTACGTTTTTATGATCGTTTTTAATAAAATTTGCCTAAGGATTCTATACTATGTGATATTCCATTTCTTTCTCTGAGTACTATCTGTGATTGGAGGAGATGAGATATCTGTGAGCAGTGACTGGCATTGGCGACATTTATGAGCGCTATCTGACCATTATTTTTGGTCCATCCAGTCTGGTGAGTGGGAGCAGTGTACATAAGTGCCCAGAGTTATGCAAGTGGATTTGGATCTTTTCACACAAGGAGCACTATGTGTGTTTTTGGTGTTATGTGAAGCACACCCGGACTGTTTACATATGCACTATTGGGATGCACTTTAGAAAGGACGCTTGGTGAACTAGGTGGACATTTCTTCTAATATTGCAAGGTCTGGAAATGAAGTGGACACTATTCTTGTTATGCACTTTATCTTATATGTTTATTTTTGATACATATGTTTTATTTATAACTGTTTTATTTTATACAAGCGCAGTGTGATTTGGGATTTTAAACAGTTAGACCCAAGAGAGCGGTCAGACAGCTGGTCTATGTTTGTTCCCATACATATCAAACCTCCACTGCTCCAGGTAAAAACAACAGGATTGGGTGAATGTCATCTTCTAGGCCTCAATCAATAATTTGTAGACCTGCATGCATTCCATTCTTAATCGCTAAATGATACTTAAACTTATGGCTCCAGCCGATAAAATGTTATATTTGTATCAATATAGATCAATCTACACTGGGCAAAGAAGAAGAAAATTGCAAGTGTGAAAAGCAATAAGCCAAGACAATTGCCGTGGCCAAAACCTAATAACTCTCTCAGGAAATTGACATAAAGTAAAGTAAGGCTGGAAAAATCCTAGAAGCCAGGTAGACGACTTGACGTAATAAAATCATAAAACTCAAGCCATTCTCTACAGTAAAGTTGTATTTACAGGTATTGGACATTCAGAAGCTAAAACATGGAATATAAATGACTACATTTATGGATATTACAGTTTTGCTCAACTTTATAAGAATATAATATATTCCCAGTTTTAAAGAACAATGTTTACTAAGTATGCCCTGGTACAGTTTACATTCCCTGATTCCAATCACAATTCCTATAAATGGCCAAGTGGGGAGGACGTTCTCCAATGTCTGTAGGTATAGGTCTATGAATGATTTTTAAATAACTCTATGCACGTTTAGATTATAAAACATACATCCCCATGTATGTTTTATCATTTTCTGAAATTGAATGTAGATATGGTGAATTTACTGCAGGCATCATCAGTACCTGTCAGAAGTATGCCTTGGGGTACCCAAAGCACCAGTTGGGAAGGCTGTGAGACCCTTCTCATTCATGGTGCTGTAGCTGGTTAATCGGCAGTTCTGGGCCCTACTATGTAAAGATCAACAGTGAAAAAAGTATGTATGCACCGAAATTTCGGCTGCCGAAACATATTGAAAAAGTGCAATTTTTTTGCCGAAATAGCTGTGCATCCCTGGTTTCTCTCCTCCCCGCTTAGCGCTGCTCTGTGTCCCAGCGGGGAGGAGAGAAACTGTCACAGGAAGCCGAGCAGTGCGGGAAGAGAGCGCTGTGAGCGGCTGTCGTCTCTCCTTCCTGCACTGCTCAGCCTCCTGTCACAGATCGGCAGAGCGGTGTGGGGGCAAAGACAGCTGACATTGCTGTCACAGGAGGCTGAGCTCTCCTCCCGCACCTCCCCGCTCAGCCTCCTGTGACAACCAATACAGAATGGATAGCGGGTACAAACACTCAGCGATCAGTCATCGCTGAGTGTTTGTAAATAATTGAGGACAAAGTATGTTCACTGTGTCCCCAATCATGAATGAATAGGAAGTGATCTACATCACTTCCTTTTCATTCATAATAGTGGTCATGGTAAACATACTATCGCCACGAGTTATGAATTAACAGGAACACTCAGTATAGAGGATTCCTGTTCATTTATAACATGGCCTTCATGGCCTCCAGATTGAGGGCTCTGTGTCTCTGAGGACTCTGGGTCCTGAATCTCTTTTTCTATTTTAAAAGAGAAAAATCAGGGGTCTGTTTAGACCCCTAATATTTCCCCGAAACCCCCCAACAGTAAAGTAAAAAATAAAAATATTTTATACAAATAAATAAATAAATATATTTAAAGAAATGAAAAGTTTATAAAAAATAAAATATTGTAAAACATTTTTAAAAGTTAGTTAGTAAAAAAAAAATTGGTTTCCGGTTTCGGCCTGGCATTTGTTTTTATTTTGGTTTTGACATTTTCATTTCGGTGCACCTCTAAAAAAAGGGAGCTTCCATTTCTGATCGGAGGCTGCACTTCCAAAAAAAAAAAATTCAGCAATGGCAACTGCTATCTTTATTATTCCCAAAGGTTCCCTGGCCAATTTCCAGGCCAGACCATTGTCCCATGACTGAAGGGTTGATGTCACCTACCCTGCTCCCCCCCATCACCAACACCAATGATTTCGGTAACGGCTACAATGGAGGAAGCAGCTGTGAGGAGGTGCTAGAAAGGTCAGTATAAGGGGGTTTCAAGGGGGATCTTTTCAGAGACATTGCCCTGCATGGATAAAGTGACAGCTCAGCACAAGGAGGAGATGTGGATCATCTGTGCATTGTGGTGCGCTGCGTTGTAAAAAATTTTGCATGTCCAATTTCATGTACAAAATTAATGGGCTGCCTTAATGGGCTGCCTAACCTTTTAGGCCTCATTAACACAGGCTCATTAGGCCCAGCAGACCTGCGGTTGGAATCACAGGTAGTTCTGGACAGCTGCGGCCGCTCAGCCTGTACAAAGCAATGACAAGCTGAAAGGAGCCGCAGTTGTTTACTGCTATTCACATCTATCCACACTTCCTGCAGATGGGGACGGTTGACTGTCCCTGAGACAGATTACATCCAGGGCTGTTCATCTGTCCCGACACAAAAAGGTTGGCCTAGTAACTGCTTGTAAAAAAGAAGACGACTTATTACTGTCTGGTGGGAGGCAACTGTGAAAGAAAGTGTGGTACCCCGGATACTGGCAAAATACACATCCCTCTCCAAACAGATCTGTCTTTAATTTGGGGGTTACAAGTCACTTCGGTTCTGACACTTGCAGACTGGGGCCCCCACAAGCGGCCCACCATCGCTCAGCATGCGGCCCCCTGTGCTCCAGACCTCTATTCAGGGCTGCAAATGGAATGACAGTGGTGGTATAGCGCTAAGCCCAGGACCTGCGTCATTGTGCGCTTCAGTGCGGGTGTTGTGCCCACTACTGTAACAGTGCATTGGGATGCCATTTAACCCTTTTGCTGCTGTGGCATTTTATGCGCACATTATAATCCACATTTTAGGCATGAGAGTTACATAAAACCCTTGAGAGTTATATATATTTCCTGAAAGCAGACAGAACCTGTACAATACAATGGCGGCAGTTGCAAAACGTTTACGTCGCATGATCTTAATGCAACTCTTTATCAAGCCCAAAATGTCAGTAAATATACACTTAAAGTGACACAAAACCCTCAGCTTTTTTCTCTTTGTACACAAGGAACATTCTCCAAAGACACATTTATTTATATTTCAAAATAAAGTCTTATTATGTTAATCCCTTTAGAAAGTCTGCTGTGCTCACTCCTGTGTCTCTTCTCTCCCCTCACACTTCCTGTCCCTTAGTAAGAGCCGTGCACGTTGATTCTGGTCACGTGCATATCTTTCTTTGCTTACAACTCCATGAGGCACAGAGGAATCATCTCTCACACAGATGCCTCCTCTCCCTCTCCCCACTGCTTGTAATCTCCTCTGCAATGCTCTGAATCATCAAAACGACTTACAACAGCTTTACAACAAACATCAAGTTTACAACAAATCTACACAGAAAAACTACTTTATTTCACATGCAGGTGCCGTATCCTCTGTGACCAGATTCAGCATGTGAGCTGACACTCAGAAGAAAGTATGAGGCTGGTGACAGGTCACATGATGAATCTCCTCTCCTCCCCCCACACTCCCTCCTTGCTGAGCCAGGAGGAGAGAAATCACCGATCATATATTTCCCCCATATGTGGGAGGAATCCCAGCCCCTTGCAGAGTCCGGAGGGGAGGATTTGCGTGTGGAGACTGAGAAGACACGCCCCCAGCATGTTGTAGTCCTTCACATGAATGAGCACACAGGGTGGCTACTTTTCAGCTCCCATAGGGTAGTCACCATCTAGCAGGAAGTTGTGGCTGGAGAAAAATAAAATGGATTTTGGAGCATTTAGAGCTAAACAATTACAAAGAAAGGTACCCAGTAATGTATTATTTATATAATAGTTATTTTTATTATTTCATTTTTGAGTTTAGTGTAGCTTTAAGTTAATTTTAGCGCCCAAAAACACAATATGATACCCATTTCCTTATTTTTTGTGTAAAATATCAAAGATGAGGTTGTGCCGAGTAAATAAATACCCAACATGCCAAGCTTAAAAATTGCATGGGCCCGTGAAACTACAACAAAATACAGTACCTCATATTGTCCATAGGCGTCTCTTTATGAGCCCATACGGGTCATCAGTTTAGCGTTAACTGTAAATATTGGCCCTAGAATTATTGCTCTCACATGCGGCGATACCCGACACGTGTAACGCAATCAACATTTTCGTATGTTGGTGTGTTAACATTACTATGCGCACATTCACAGGGGCGGGTGGACCTTAACTTTTAAACTTATTTGAATGACAGGCCAGGAGACTCATGGTCTGTCCAGCCCAACCTGGCATAACAGCATGATTGACAGGCCAGGAGATTCATGGTCTGTCCCGCCCACCCTCCGATAACACCATGATTGACAGACTAGGAGACTCATGGTCTGTCCCGCCCACCCTCCGATAACACCATGATTGACAGGCTAGGAGACTCATGGTCTGTCCCGATGATTGACAGACCAGGAGACTCTGGTCTGTCCCGCCCACCCTCTTATAACACCATGATTGACAGGCAAGGAGACTCATGGGCTGTCCCATCCACCATGGCATAACACCATGATTGACAGCACAGGAGACTCATGGTCTGTACCGCCCCCACACTGGCATAACACCATGATTGACAGGCCAGGAGACCCCGGCCAACACTAACACCCATATGCAGCTAGAATTTCCATCGCAGGAAGGGAATTGTAGTTTGTTCCAGCAGCCCTGGAAGGGATGTTGGCGCTTCCTTTCCTTGATCCCTCCACTGGGTGCCCAGACATAGCTGAGCTTTCTGTCTGCAAACGATCACATCATCCACTTACAAAATAAACTTTAATCAAAAACTAGGTAGTGACATTTGCAATGTGCATAGATCGAATGAATCGTCCAAACTGAAAAGTATCCCAGAGGTCAGCTTTAAAATGAATGCCAATGTAACATAGATGCATGCATCATGCCACGTTACCACAATGCATGAATGTTAATAGGCCCTTAAAGTTACATTAACATTTGGCTCAGATTGTGTTCTCCTGGGTGTTTATTGTGGACATGTTGGGGGTCACACCTGAGGGCCCCCTATATTTACTAACGTGACACTCATAAGGTCTCCCATCTGGTATGTATGCAGCGTGTGAATATAGGCGGCTCTCCCTTCAGGTGACCATTTCACACCATGACCCAGGATGGTGTCGCACACAAGGCCAAGGCCACTGATTTATAAGTAAACCTACAAAATTACAATGTAACGCTACATATTCAGATTGCTACATTAGCTCAGTCATAATTGAATCTCTTTAAAATACAAAAAACAGCCCTTGCATTTTATATATGGCTGAGTCTACTCTTTAGAATACCTTTCCTGCGTACAGTTGCGCTCTAATAATAACCTCAATACTTTGGAATAAACTCAAATTTGCCCACACTTAATATGGAAGCTCCGGGTCTCTCCCCTCAACTGCGCATGTGCGCTAAATACTAAAACAGCTGGCTCCTTATTCCAGACACTAAAGAGCGGAACACACCTTCCGAGTCACCGCCTGGGACTGGCGAAGCTTCTCTAGGTCGCTCAAGGCTGAAATCCTTTGTTTCAGCTGAGCCCTGAGCGCCCGCTTAGCTGCGTGAATCGACGCCATCTTTTCACAGCGAACGAATGATTAGCACCGCCCACCCTGATAACACTGACTGATCTAGCCTGAAAGCGGCCCTCCCACTCAGGTA